GCAAAACCATACACTGTGTTAAATTTCTCTGGTAGGTTTGGAGACCCTGGGCATTAGGCCTGTTGCACAATTCCTAAGAAACACCCCCAGGAGACTCCATGGCAGACCGCAGTGTCTGGCTTGCAGCTCTGGGGAAAGAACCTAGAAGGCAGAAGACGGCTGCCTAAGGTCTATAGCTGTGTGCATGTGGCCGTCAGAGCACACTACTCAGTGAATTCAGGGGTGCCTCCCGTGACGGTGAGGAGTTAGCCCTGGAGTCAGGTTGAGCAGGCCACATCCCACTGCTATATGATGAGGGCGATGGAAATGTGTCCCCCAGTTTTCCGGTGCTCTGCGGTGAAGAGGCAGAGTTGAGCCCCCCTGCTTGTGTGGGCTGGACTTGGCACTCCCTCTAGTGAAGTGGAGGGGTGGTGTGCAGGTTCAGAGACTAGGTTGGAAAAGGCATTGCGGCTTTTCCTAGCAGTCGATTGCACTTCCTGCTTTGGGAAGTATTAGCTGGCATGTTGTGGGCGGGGCACTCAACAGCTTTTATAGAGAAACTGAGACCTCCAACCGATAGCTAGGGAGAGAGCTAGCCCAGCGTAGATCCTCCAAGCTGGCCAAACCTCCACACAAAAACTTCGCAAGAGCTCCGGAGCCACAGCGACTCAGCCCAGCAGCTCTTGGGTCGTGATGGATGAAGGGACACGACCGCATTGGCTGCTTTCAGCCACCAGGCTTTTGGGGCAGCAGATTGATGAGGTGGTATGTGCCCTTGGGCAAGATAATTAGGTCTCTTGTGCTTCTGTGTCCTTACCTGTCTAGGGTGCTAGAGGTGAAGCCTACATCCTAGAGGAGCTGCAAGGATTTTTGTGAATCGGTGCATGAGCAACACTCAGAACACAGCCAGCGCTCCGTAAATCTCAGGCCAAGACAGGGCAGCGGGAAAGAGATCGAGTTCCTGCTAAATGCGTGGAGGATAGGGCTCGGTTGATGACAGCTTGGTGAGGGCAGCCCGTCCTAACGACCTGAGGATGACCACTGGCCAACAGGGGCGGAGGGTCCTGAGCGTCCCTGAAAGGGACCTTCTGTGTACAGCGAAGGCTGTGGGAAGCCAGGAACTCTTCAGCTCTCAGACTTCTCAGTGGTCTTTGCTCAGTACAGACAAGGGAGGAAAGGAAAGACAGGAGGACAGGATCTAGGTGGTTCAGAGAAAGTAGAGGAAGCCGTAGGTTCCAGTGGGACACTGTCTAGCACTGGGCTGATGGTCTGGAGCTTGGGCCAGGGCCCTTTCTGTTGTGTCTCAGAGAAGGCACAATGACCAGAGTGGAGGGGGCCGAGGGTGGCTTTTGCAGCCTGTGAGGAGCTGGCTGCCTGCAGTGCCTGCTGAGCTGGGGTGGGCATGAGGCCAGGAGTGAGTTTTCCTGACTCTCAGGAAGGGAGGACACAGAGGAGGAATGTGTGCAGTGACCCCAACAGCAAAAGACGAGGCTTCAGAATACGTAAGTGTCCTGCAGGGAGCGAGGATGGGTCACACGTAGATACTGAGTCACACACACCAACTGTACTGCTTAACTTGTAAAATTTAGCACACTGTAAGATTAATACTAACTTATCACACGTCTGAGTACCCCGAACACACACTCTTTAAAATAAAACCTCTGTACAGTTAGTTTTTATGGCTAACCTTGTACATCCTAGAATCACCTGGGGAAAGAGTCTCAGTGAGGGATTTTCTGTCTCAGGTTGAATGTGCTCTCTGCAGGTGGATGGGAGGAGTCACCCAAGTATGGGTGGTGTCATTTCTCGGGCTTTGGACTGGGTAAGAGTGAAGAAAGCCAGCTGAAAGCAGACAAACAAAGGTGTTTGCTTCTCTTTGCTTTGGCTATGGGTGCACTGTGAGCAACCTTCTTAAACTGCGGCTTCTACCATCCAAGTGCTGAGGTTACAGGAGTGTGCCACCCATGCCTAGTATCTGCAGTGCTGGGAACTAAACCCAGAGCTTTGTGAGCCGTGGGAAGAGCCTACCAACTCAGCCTAGGCCTTGGCGCCAGCGTTATTCCGTCATTAAGGGTCATTGGGACATAAGCACTGTGGTATTTTGACATTTGATCTGATCACCAACCACTGCCCGGTGGGTGAGTGGTCCACGTGGCATGGATGCTTTGGACAGAGATGATTGGAAGTAGAATGGCAGCGGTTTCGTCGTGCGACTCAAAATGGCAAGTAGTTTAAACTTAGGGATTGCTTATTTATACAATATTCCATTTAGTATTCTTAGAATGTGGTTGACCATTACCCAAACCAGGGAAAGCAAAGCCATGCACGGCAGGGGAGTTGCTATAATGAAATGCTGTGTTGGTCTCTTGGGTCTGCCATAGAAAAGTCCAGAAATGGAGTGAAGCGGCTTAAACGACTGCAATGCCGCGGTCTCGCCGCTCCGCTGTGGGGAGGTCTGAGGCATGCCTCCCTCCTGGGTGATCTTGGGCGTGGCGTTACAGCCTTGTCTCTGTCTTCACTCTCACGTGGTGTCCTCCCGCACGCGTGTTTGTGTCTAAATGACCCCTTTTCATGAGGACACCAGACACCGGAGATTAGTGACTCTGGGGAGTGTCTTCATCTTAACTAATCACATTTCAGTGATTCTGTTTCCAAGCACTGTCCCATTTTTAGGTCTTGGGAGTTGGGAGGGTGTATGTTGGCAATAGCAGCTATGAGCTGTTATGTAGGCATGGGCGGCTTTTGGGAGCTGAGGCTGACGCTTGACGCACTCAGTGCAGCCTAAGTAGTAGGGTTATTTGACTTTTTCTCTGGCAGAAGAGGGTCAGGTGGAAGGAGGAAGCACAAAGGCGATGGCTTCTCTGAAGGGAGAAGAATCGTCTTAGTGAATGTGTTAGGACAACTGGCCAGTCATTCAGGAACAGTGCTGGTTGTTTTGCTCAGCCAGCTGGATCAAAACTCACAGCCAGAAAAAAAACAAAACCAAACAAAGCAAAACAGGAAACAAACACCCAAACAAAACACACACACATGCACGCACATACACGCACACGCATGCATTCACACACATACACACATATGCATACACACACGTGGCGTCCATACATGCATACACACATGTGGCATACATACATGCACACACATGCATGCACACACATGCATGCACACATGTGGCATGCATGCATACATGCACACATGCACACACACGCACACACCCCAGTAAAAGCACTGTAAGGAAACAGGACAGTCATCCTGTGCTAATGAGTTAGGAGGAATATGGGAGGCTGTCTGCTTGCTTCATAAAAGGTGACCACATGAAAACAGATGTCAATAAAATTAACCCCATAAAAGAAAATTTTCTATAGTCAAAAGATATAGCCGGGCAGTGGTGGCGCACGCCTTTAATCCCAGCACTTGGGAGGCAGAGGCAGGCGGATCTCTGTGAGTTCGAGGCCAGCCTGGTCTACAAGAGCTAGTTCCGGGACAGGCTCCAAAACCACAGAGAAACCCTGTCTCGAAAAACCAAAAAAAAAAAAAAATATGAAAACTAAAAAAAAATCAATTAATAAAGAAACCTGTGAGGCGAAGGACAGACTATGAAAGATGTTTGCGGAATGCGTAACTGGCAGGGGGCTGATTGGCTTTATAGTGTGTCAATTAGATGAGATAAAAATCCCCAAGAAAAACATGCAAACAGCAGCAAAAGACATACATCAATATATTCCCAATTACAGCCCGAGAAATACAAATGATACCCAGCCTTGTCTTATTGGCAAAGATGGATGTGCTGTGCATTTGCGGAGACAGCGGCTGTGCTTGCCTCTGGAGAGAGACTGTAAACTGTCGCGATGCCGCATAACTCAGAAATCTTCCAAAGCAGTACACGCAGGCCCTTTATAATCCCACGGATCTCCTAAGAGCCTACCCTGAGAAAGCTGAAGAGGCTCATTGCAGCGTTGCTACTGAACAAAAATGTGGCTCGCTAGCCTACCAGCTGGGCGGAGCGGTGTTTTGCGTCCACATCCAGGAAGTGGGCCTGGGATGGTGGGTGAGACGTGAACGAGAAGAGAAGGACAGTGAAGAGATGGAAAGAACGCCGGGGACCAGGGACGGAGTCGGAAGGAAAGAAGTGATACAGGGAAAGGCGGGGCAGCCCGTGGCTCCCTGGTGGGGGCGGGGACGGGAGTCAGAAGCTTCATTTAAATGGTCAGCAAGGTGTCCCCTGGTGAAGGCAGACTGGCCGTCCTACCTACAGGACATGACCACAGGTCTTTGGGGCACTTGCTAAGTAAGATCCAATTGGAGGGTCGGTGAGGTTGCGACTCCTTGATGGGGAAGGAGGTCTGTTCTGTCACTGCTGGTGTCCCCTAAGGCTGTGGCCAGGTGCCATGTTAGGAGCATGTCTACTGTCTAAGACTAAGCTGTTCTGGAAGCCAGAGAGGCAGGAGACAGCCAGGGGCGAGAGTTGCAGGGCGCGTGGAAGGACGGGCGCAGACGCTGAGGAGTTATGAGGGTGAGAGGCTTAGTTAGGGGTGCACAGGTATAGGGGTAAGTAGCCTCACTCTGTCCCCTGAGGCCAACTGCAGAGACTGACAGCCTGCATCCAGAGCTTTCTCTCATATGTAGACTCTACATGGTCACATGTATGTGTCGTAGAAAATCAGAGGTGCATGAGGGAGCGAGGGAGGATGGGGGGAAACAGGAGATGACGATGGGCAGGAAGGACATGTGCTTCATTTTCCCTGACATGCAGAAGAGAGTGTGTCTGTGCATACACATGTACTTATGTGCACGTATTCCAGCAGAAGGTGGGAGCTACATGAGGGGGCAGAGGCATCAGTGAGAGGAGGAGGAAGGGGACGAGGGATGGCAATGAGGGGGGAATATGAGAAAATGTGTGTGTGTGTGTGTGTGTGTGTGTGTGTGTGCATGCATGTATGTGCAAATGTCATGGTGAGGGACCAGAGAGATGGCTCAGCACCCACATGGTGGCTCACAACAGCCTGTAACTCCAGTTCTGGGGATTAGCTGCTTTCCTCTGGCCTCTGCTGGCAACGGCGCACTTGGTACACATGCATATACATAAAATTAAAAAATACTTTAAAAATTTATCGAAAGTGCCATAATAAACCCATTATCTTATAAGCTGACTAATAAAAACATGCCACCTCTATTTCATTCTGAAAACTAAAACTAAAAATAGCTCGTCAGTGTGTTAATAAAACTGTGCTGCACATGCAATGTTTTGAAGCAATTAACTGAGGACAGATGCATGCTCCCGTGTAGAAAATGCATGAATATGCATTGATGCATATTATGCATTTTTAAACAAGAAAAGAGCATTTCTGATGGCATTCATGCCCCTGTGTGTATGGCTTCTGTCTGTGAAGGAAAGAGTATAGCATGCTCCTGTGTGTATGGCTTCTGTCTGTGGAGGAAAGAGTATAGGGAGCCCTGGGGTTTTCATTACGTTTTCGTGTGTGCTATTAGAACAGGGTGTCATGTGAAAGTATGACTTTTGTATAAAAATGTCAGAGTTAAAAGTAAAAGGACGGGAATAAAGCAGTTGACGTGCTCGCCAGCACGGGGTTTGCTTTGGGGCATCTCACATGCCCTTTCATGCTTAGTTGAGCACAGTGACTAGGAAAGCTGGGAGCTTCAGATGGAGACAAATGAAAGGGGACTGTCCTGGTGAGAGTGGGGTGCTTTGCTGGAGAGGGAAGGACCCCTGTGACTTTGAATGTGCTCTTTTTGACCTGTGACCCCACATGTTCACTCCCAGGAGGTGCTAAGCAGGACACACCTGTATGTATGCGACGTAATAACCAGGCTAGCTTAATATGAAACAGCAAATTTTAATGAAGGGATAGCTTACAACACCAGGGATCTAGCGATGGGCAGGAAATACAAAAATAGACCTGCGGGGCTCATGCCCGCCAGATTTATACGTAAACATTAGCCCGAGGTGAAAATGCCCCCCATTGGGCTAGGCTTCCCCTACACCTGTACAGCTAGTTCCCCAGATTCAAGGACAGGGATTTGACAGAGGGAAGAGATGCACTTGAATATAAACCCTGGATGGCTCCTTAGGGAGGGGGGGAGCAGTAGCTTGTCCCCGAGGCACAGAGGAACTCATGAGGAATGCCAGAGATTGTTTCCAAGAGAAGTGGAGACCAGAGCATGATGCTCAGATGTTAGCTGCTCACAGGACTCCCTCCTCAGACCCAGGAGCATCTCTCCTCCCTGCCCCAGTCTTCTACCTCACCACCATGACTGCCAGTGGAAGCCTGCACACCGCTTCCTGCAAGGACCCCTAAGACTGAGAACTGGCTACTCCTAGTGTTGGGACAATGGCTTCAGGCCCTGACAGTTGTTCCCAGAGCTGACTTGGGTTAGGACAGTAGTCCAGGGGCTTCATAACTTGGAGTGCCTGGGCTGGAAGGAAGAATCCCTGATGAGAGGAAAAAAGAGAAATGGCTGATATTAGTGCTTTAGCTAATATCTTAGCCATGCAGTTGGGTCTGTTCCCAGGATGGATGTTCCCGATGATAGAGGAGATTCTGAATAGGTGCACACATCCCCAAAGAAGCCAGCTGCCTTGCACGGATGGCAGACACTCCTTTTTATCAAGCAGATGATGCAGGCAGAATGAGCTTATCTTCGAGTCCTGGTACCATTGGGTGGAAACCGCAGCTATTGTTTTGTATGCAGTCCAGATAAGGCTGCAGGAGATTGGAAATGGGACAGGGATGCTGGTCTCTTACTAATGGTTCCAGACAGTTTACCCATTTGAGTTTTCCCCTTTGGCTTACAACTCTGGCTTTCTCACTCACTCTTTGGAAGTGCTTCTTGCCATTCTCAATGCAAAATCCCCTCTTCTATATTTGTTGCTTCTTGTTGGAGGATGTAGGCTTTGCCGTCTTACCAGTCTGATGCGATAGTGCATGATCTTTAATGCATTGACAGTGAATGTCCTCTTGGGAAGGGGACTGTCCCATGAAGCCCAGGCAGTCCTGATCTTTCTTCCTTCTCCTTGCAGTATTATGATTGCAAGCACGTGTTGACGCACCAAAGAGGTCCACAATAGCCTGGAGTGGTGTATATCAAAGGTTTATTTATTTGGGGATAAACTCACAGTAAGGGTAGCAACCTGCAGTCCTCTGTGTGTGCTGGGAACTGGAATTGAATCCAGCAGCCAAGAGGGCCACACCTGCTTTTGTCTGCATTTATAGTACATGAAACCATGTCCAAAGTGGGCCGGTATCTTAAAGGCTGTTGGCTAAAGGAGTTCCCATAGCACCTCCCCCTTTTGTCTAAATAAGAGAATTGTAAGCCTCATACAAAACTATATACAATAAGAACAAATATCAAGTCTTGTTCAGGGAAAAGAAGAGGCAAAAACATAAAAACTAGAATTACAACCAGCATGAGCAACATCAAACAAGAAACATACACTAAATATTTCAATAGTGATCCTATCCTAAGGAATCTCAGTCATGTATTAAAAATGGCTTGGCTAAGTCTTGAGAGGAAAGTAACTATGACTATCTGGTCTTCAACCCTATCAAAGACCTGAGAAGGGAAATAGTATCACCTGAGTAAACAGGAAGTGCAGTCAGGCAACTTCCAAAAGGTGCAGTAGATGACAGAGACAACTGGCTACCTGGCAATCACCCAAAGTCTCATTTGCAAAGTTGGGGAAACCAACTTTGGCTAAGGCCTAGAGTATCTGACAGACCATTTTCAGAGGCAGGGAAATTTGAAAAACCATCTTACCCTGTCTAGGCAAGGTTTGGCAGTCTTTTTGCTTGTATCCTGCTTGTCCAGTCTGGACACTGTTCATTTTGTCAGTAGTTGAGCTACACAGTCTTTCCATCTGCATTTATAGTATATGAGACTATGCCCAAAGTGGGCTAGTATCTTAATGACTATTGACTGAAGGAGGTTCCCACAACACCCATGCATCACCATACCTGGCTGACGGTCTCTCTCTCTCTTTACATGTGGGGGTCACAGCCTTGGGAGTCATTCCTCAGGTACCACACACCTTTCCTTTGAGACAGAGTCTCTCACTGGTTTGGAACTCACCAAGGAGCCTGGACTGGCTGGTTAGGAAGCCCCAGGGATCCTCCCATTTCTATTTCCCCAGCACTGAGATTCCAAGTGTGCACCGCTCTGCCTGACTTTTTAAAAACATGTCCTGGGAATTGAACTCCCATTTTTCTGCATGTAATGCAGACTGAGCCATCTCCAAACCCTTGCAGCATTGCAGCTTTTGTGATTACATTTGTCATCTCACTTTGGGGGTTTTTAATCACAGATCTTTGATGGATAAAGTCAGTGGACCAAAGGCCCAGTTGTTGAAAAATTTCTTTGTCCTGTTGTGACATATAGTTCTTCTAGGTGATGGGTTGTTCCCTGGGCCTTGTCCCTAAAATGAGGGGTGTTCCTTTGGCCTGTCTTCTTTTAGGTATAAAATGCATGAGCAAGACACAGGGACCTTTCAATCTTGTGGTTAGTTGGCAGACAGGTGTGTCTGTTTCTTCCCGTTTTCCTCTTATGGGGGTAATTTCAGAGCTCAAGAATTGTAATATCTTTGAATTTTACATGTGGCTCGAAGCTCTTCTTATCACAGGTACCTCCAGGAGAGCTCCCAGCTAATAAGGAAGATAACCACTTTTGCTGATGTTTGGACCATCTGCCGTTTCACGGGTGAGTGGCAACTCCGAGTGCTTGAGATGAGCTAGTATTTAAAATGCAGCCTCTCCCTTTTAATTGTCTACTTCATTTCAGATTCCAAGCTAGCATTTTTTTATTTCACTTCATTTGAGAATCCTGAGGCCAAGCTGAGCAGATATCACATCAGATATAGGGTCTGAGTTCCCGGAAAATCAGATGACTCTAAGCAATACCATTAACAAGCAAGGGGTCAAGACCCTGGTGTGAGGGTTCTGGGTAGCAATCTCACCAATAATTCCCAGCACACTGCACTGTGGACATGGCCACTGCTGGCCAGGCTGGCCTGTGATCTTGATCTCTGATGGCTGTAGGGTCAGGAATTGTGGGTACAGGGGTCAGTGAAGAACCTGATTATTCACTAATAAGATCTGTCTGTCCCTAAAGATGTCTGTCTGGAATCCAGACTTTCTGGCATGGTTTAATCAATGCATGGCACAACTATTTTATAATATCTACATATATGATAAATTATTCTGCTATGATTCTTTATGATGTCATCACAAACTACTCAATGTCCTAAGAATCACCGGTTCTCTTAACACCTCTTCTCCTCCTTCTGCCTCTTTATCTTTCCCCTCTTTCTCCTTCTCCTCTTCCTTCCTCTGCCTCCTTCTTTACACGATGAAACTGACAATGACCCAAGTGTCTCTGGCATCTGTACGCATGCCCAACACAGTAGAACCCACTGAAAGAGGGAAAGGAAAATAAAGACCCTGTATAGCTCACCCATTTCTTCATATTTGGAAAGCCCTTGGCGGCTTTCCACCAGCAGGGCTGACTGAGCTCTCAGGGGTCACAGAGTGACTCTCAGACTCCAGAAGCTCAATGTCACAGATTCTTCACCAACAACCCGTACAGCTGAACCCCTAAGAGATTCCTTAACTAGTTAATTAGTCATTTTAGAAAGTAGAAGACATTACACTACAACCTACTAGATACTGTCCCAATAAGAGTCCTTTTCTTTCCGGTGTAGGATGGTGTGTTTCTAACTAAATTTAATCAATGCATGATATAATTATTTTGAAATATCCACACATATGGTAAATCATCCACTACTGTGATTCTGTGTTGCCATTATGAACTATTCAGCATACAAAAATGCCCCCCCTTTCCATTTCATTTTCCTACTCTACATGAACTTGATAATGATCAAAGCCCATTGATATCCACGGGTGATTAGTCCTGGTTCTCTTGAGGGTACCAAAGTCTATATATGCACAAGCCCTTCTATAAATTGGTAGAGTATTTTCACATAAGTGATGCATTTATTCCTGTATACTTATATTATAGATTACTTATGATACCTAATGCAAGGTAAATCCTGTGTAAACAGTTATATGGTATTGCTTAGGGAATGACAAAAGCTCTGTGTATGCTCAGCTCTGATCCATTTCTTTTCTATTTTCCATCCGTGGTTGCTTGAACTGACAAATGTGGACATGGTGACCTAGGCAGACTGCTCTGCTTGGTGTTTAGCCTGGAAAAGCTTAGGGATGGCCTTTTTCATAAGACCTCTATGGACTGCTCGTTTGCACGGAAGTGAACGAGTCCTGTGCGGGGTGAGCGCCTGTCGTTAGTAGTTATCTGTAGTGGGCTGTGCTAGGGCAAAGGGAGCTTGCCTCAGGAAACTGTGAGATGATGTTTGAACTTGCCAGAGGCCTGAAGGGTCTTCTTGAAGTCTAGAGACTCTACAGTGTCACTGGCCTGGTAAACCCACAACTCGTCAAGTTAGGGATGTGAGCGAAACTTCACAGAGCAGTTACTTTTCCAAATAGGAGAACAGGGATGCAAGTAGAAATCGACTAAGGTGATGAATCCCTGGATGCATTTACTTTTCAATTGTCACCAAGGAAGCTTAAGTTGGCACTTTTAAGGAGGACGATAGAGATGGGGGATTGTGTGTGTGGTACCAGCAGTGCAGGTTTGCCAGACTAGAGAGCTCCTGTGGAGGGGGCACTGGCTAGCTATGGATCAGAAAGCAGTTCCCTGAGACTCTCAGGCTCCACTGGGTATATGACAGACCTTTGAGAGTGTCTACAAGGGCTTTGTTTACTGGCTTGAAGAGAGAGATGATGTCCCTACCAGGGGGCTGTGATGGCCCCAAATCACACTTGAGTCTTTGTGTTAAGATGATGCAAGACCAATGTGGGTGGTGAGTTTGGTGTGCCCTAAAGCTTGCTTTCTGAAGCCTGCGTGGCCCCTGGGAGCTCCTGGGGGAGGTGGGAAGTGTGGACATGCAGGGATGGAGCATCACAGGAAATGACTTCTGAAACACTCCCTCAGGCGTCCTGTTCTGCTCTGATTCATCGTTTAGCCTCTGGCTTGGATAAGCCCCAGGAACAGTGTGAGCCTCCTGCTCAGAGGTTAGTCTCTGCTTCAACTTTGCTCAGGCTTTTTGGCATAAGTTGAACCCCAATAATGCCAACACAGTGTAGTGGGACATAGCTGGAAGCCACTTGGCAGGGGTAGGATTGGTGTAGTAACCAGCACAAATATTAAAGGAGTGATTCTCAACCTGTGGGTCACAACTCCTTTGGGGGTCAAACAACCCTTTCACAGGGATTACCTAAGACATCAGAAAACACAGATATTTGCATTATGATTCAAAACAGTAGCAAAATTACAGTTACGAGAAAGCAACAAAAATTTTATAGTTGGAGGTCACCACACCATGAGGGACTGTATTAAAGGATCTCATCATTAGGAAGGTTGAGAATCACTGAATTAAAGCATCATGGACCCCAGTGCCCCATCAATTAAGCAGTGGTGGATTCATTCATTCATTCATTCATTCATTCTATGTGCTTCAGCTATGGTCTTCTTCTCTGGGTGGCACACCTTCATTGGTATTCTTGGTAGTATAATTAGAAACATCTCTCTAACTTCAACTTATTGAGAAGTTGCTTATGTTTGCTGTGGTTAGGATTTGACAATAGTTAGAAAGCATTGGGTGATTCCCATAGTCAATCTCACACTGTATTTCAACTGGCTCTCCGCTCCTGAACAATAAATACACTTCCCCTCTTAGAGTGGTTTCAAAGAGCAACATTAAGGGAGTGAGCTATGTTTAGTCTTGTTGGCTGAATGCAAACTAAGCCATTAGTGTAACCTCTGGCTCTTCATGCTCCTCAGAACCACAGTATATAGTTTCAAGAATAGCACTCATCCCGAGCCCAGGTGGTGAGAAGATTCTGGAAAATGATGGATGTATGAGGACCAATCTGAGTAGTGTGTGGGTTGGACACTGCAATCCTCTGGTCCTGACATGACCTTGGTCCAGTGCTAAACAGCTTCTCCTGAGTAAGTTTAGACCCTCTCCCTGCAGTGGATCAAGATGTGAAATCACTGAAAATTATCTTTCAAAGATATGAACCATAGTCCTGATCCTCAGGAGACTGGAGTGTCTAAAACACTCCATGGATGCTTGAACCACATGTAACACCAAATCTTACATTAATATTTTATTGACTTTATAATTATGCAAGTAAGAGCTTAATAACAATGACCAGTAATAAAGCATAGCAAATAAGACAGCATTCTGTTAGAATTGTTACCACAGCTACACTTGTGCTCGGGCCATTGTTAGCAAGTGCACACAGCACAGTAGTAGATCTGATAACTGAGATGGCTTTGGGACTGACAGGCAAAGGATCATTCAGATTCCTAAAAGAGAGAGATCAGATCATACCTCTACAAAGGTCATCTAATTAAAAACTTAGGAGTTATTTTTAAACATTTTTTTTGAATTGCTGAGTGTTTGACTTTCACTGGAGCATGGGCAACTGAGGCCACGGGAGGAAAAACCACGGAAAAGTAGACCTACTGTAGAGCAGTGGCAGTTTAATATTCTCTAAAAAGCAAAGGTTTCCTACTGAGATCCAGAAATTGCTGAGGGAAAACTCCACCAATTTTGCTAAATTCTAAAGTCACTTGCCTCAAATAACCGGCTACCTAGTTAAAGTTAGAGCAGAAGGGTTGGGTCAGGAAGGTAAGGCTCACTCTTAGACAGGTACTAAGAGTGGTGACATTTTGTACAAGTCTTCCTTTGGGCTGTGAACAGCCACCGAGAGCTGTGTAGGCAAGCTCTTACGCAGCCTCGTTAGCGACCTGAGACACCATTATTCTCCATCTTTGCTCTTAGCGTTTAAGAAAAGTGGGACCATTGTTGGCGTAAGCTCTGTTTTAGCATCAGGAGGAGATGAACCAATCACAAAGCCCCGTTTGAACCCATCAGGTGACTTAATTAAATGTTGCATGAGGCAGGGCTGGAGCGGTGACTCAACAGTAAGAGAGCTTGCTGAGGACCGGGATTCAGTTCCCAGCGCCCATATGGTGGCTCACAAGTGTCTGTAAACTCCTGTCCCAGGGTACCTCTTCTGGCCTCCGTGGGCACTGTACACATATGGCATGCACACATTCATGAAGGCATACATACACTCACATATAAATAAAGTATTTAAATGTCTTCTAGGACAGGCTCCAAAGCTACAGAGAAACCCTGTCTCAAAAAACCAAAAAAAAAAGTGTTTAAATATCACATTTTCTTTCAGAGATCATACTTTCTTGCCACCTTCAGACAAAATGATGCTTTAGGAGTGCTGGTCCCAAAGGCTCATTTGGTGATTTTTTTTGGTTCCTGGTACCAATACATACTGGGAGGCTATTGCTGTAGGAATTCCTACCACCAGCAGCCTTTAAGTTACCTGCCCACTTGGGCATGGGCTCTTATACTATAAACGCCATGTAAAGTGCACATCCGCTCTCTTTTCTGGCTGCTGGATTCAGTTGCTGTTCCCCGTTTGAGCAGAGGATTGTGATCTGTGAGTCTACCCCTACACAAATAACCCTCTATTATACTCAGTTCTGAGCTAGTGTGGGATTTAAGCATCCTTCTTCATCTGGTGTCCATGCGGATCTAGACTCCACACCCACTGGATAGATCAGCTTAAAGACCTAGGTCCACTGCCCAGAAAGACTCCCACCTCTGCCCACTTGGCTTGCTTTTACCTAAGTGGTGTTTTATGGAGTCCCTGTGTGATGTGGGAGTGTCATATATCAATCTGTTGATTTCATTGGTTAAGCAAAAAGAAACTGCTTGGCCCTGATAGGTTAAAACAAAAATTGAGATTTTTGTCAACTAGTAGGTACAGACCCAGCAGAGATTATAGTGCCTTTTACTTCTGGTGAAATTAAAAAATTATGGGAAGACAATGAACCTTGGCAAAGAGCTTGTGCTAATTTCTAAAGGAGAGATTAATAACAATTATTCCAAAAGTAATAGAATTAATCTTATAAAGAGAACTACTTGGGTCCTTTCCCACATTGTACTTGATGCACCAATACTGGAGCCCATATATTCTATACTGATGCAAATAAATCAGTGAAGGCATGTTACAAATCAGAAGATTTAAGTAAGTTGGAACAAAGCCCTTATAATTCTGCTCAAAAGACAGAATTATATGCTATTCTCATGGTGCTAAGGGATTTTTAAAGAACCTGTTAATATAGTTACTGATTCACAATATGCAGAGAGAGTTGTTTTGCATATTGAAACAACTGAATTTATACCAGATGATACAGAATTGACTTCATTATTCATACAGTTTTAAGACATTATCCAGAATAGGCTTTGTCCTATATACATAACACACATCCAATCCCATATGGCTCTTCCAGGTTCTTTAGCACAAGGTAATGCAGAAATTGATTAATTACTGATTGGAAGTATGTTGAAGGCCTCAGAATTTTATAAGAACCATCATGTCAATAGCAAAGGTTTAAAGAAAGAGTTTTCTATTACATGGCAGCAAGCTAAGGAGATTATAAAGAGATGTCCTATTTGCTTTTTATATAACCAAACACCACTACCTGCAGGAACTAACCCAAAGGGTACTCAAAGGAATTAAATCTGGCAGATGGATGTGCTCCACTTTGCAGAATTTGGAAAATTAAAATATGTATACCACACCATTGACACTCAGGTTTTTAGTGGGCAACTGCTTTAAGCTCGGAAAAGGCTGATTCAGTAATCACACATTTATTAGAAGTTATGAGCATCATGGATATAGCTGTACAAATAAAGACAGACAATGGTCCATCATCATATGTGTCTAAGAAAATGAAATAAATTTTTGTGTATTATAATATAAAGCATATTAGTGTATCATACAACCCTACAGGTCAGGCAGTTACAGAAAGGTCAGATTGTCCTATAAAGGATTTGCTAAGCAAACAGAAAGGGGTGGAAAATACCCCCAGAAATAGATTACTTGTGCCTTATTAACCTTCAGTTTTCTTCACACTAATGAGAAAGGGTCAATAGCAGAAGAGAGTCATTGGATAATAGAAAAAAACCTTCTGAATTAAATCATCTAGTGTATTTCAAGGATGTGTTGACCTCACAATGGAAGCCAGGAGAGGTGCTATGCTGGGGAAGGGTTTTGCTCTTGCTTCCACAGGAGAAGAAAAACTATGGATACCATCAAAATGAACAATGATTCACTTTGAAAAAGAGAAACCTCTTGAGAAAGAGAAATGATGCCTCATTCACAACAGTGACAACCATACAGGTGGTAAGGAAAGCATATAAGGTTGGGGCAGGGTTCTTATCTTTACAGGAAAATACACATCTCCAAAAATTCAAGAGACCCTAGATGTTTGGATGCTGACAGAAGGAAAAATAACTGTGCAATAAGGAATATCACGAAAAAGGAATATGACTTGTAAGGACAGGTGATAAAACACACACACACACACATCTGGCTTTGGAGTTTGACAACAGCTCTGTCCTCTAAATCCAAGCATATTGTTAAAATAAAAATTCAGTGTTTCTGTCTCATGTCAGGAGCCATCTGGTATGGGACAGAAAGAGGAAAGAATTTAGAAAAAAATTTTCTTTTGTTCATACCTATTTTTTCTCTATCATACCTTACATTGAACATATATGTCTGTATATGTCTATATTAAAAATGTTTAAATTTTCCACAATGAACAATGTATTTTCCTGCAGTAATCTTTGAAGTTTCCAGGAAGAAGATTGGGTCCCACAACAACAACTCCACCTGGTTGATATGACGTCATGATGCTGATAGCGCTAATATAAGACCTGTTCTGGGTACCAGCTGCTCAAGATGGTTTCAACTTGGTTAGGTGAAATAGTGCATTTTTTTTCAACGTTCTGGTCAGAACTCCAAATAGGAACATCAGAAACACCTTACTGAATACTCAGAGACTATTTGCAATTATACCAGGCAGTAATCTTGGAACTTAACAATCATTTTACTTTCATAGGATCCTATAGAATGAACATTGCCCCCATGACAGCTAGAAGTAATCCTAGAAGACAATGTTCCTTCTCCCAACAATGTTTGTCCTCAGGGTTAGGGACATCATTTAGGGGTTGATTATAATTGGTGTAGGGTTGAGGGTTGTTGGGGAAATTATGTAGGCTCAGGATCTCTTTGAAAAAAAAAAGAGGAAATTGGATGGGATAATAGGTAATTTACATTGGTATAAATTCTTGTATATTGATACAAGCTTAAATTATATTGAATATGTCCTATTTTTGTCCACATATTTGTATATCTAGGCAAAGTTATTTTCTCATATTGTATGCATGCATGCTTCTACCTCTGTTTAAGACATTTGGTATATTGATACAATTTTAGGATATATTTATCATATTGTAACATATATTTTTACCTCTGATCAAGATATTTATACATTGTTTACAATTTGAGGTTATTGTCCTCATTTGTTGCAGAGTTGCTTATTGTATAATATTCTAATATGAAATCTTGGCCTTTAAGTTATATAGGTGTTAAGAATTATAGATCAATAGTCATTTATGTTTGTCATATTTATAGTTAGACTAATCAGGTTCTTTAGATACATAGAGATTGTATTCTGCATAGATAGGTAATCTTCAACCACTTCAAAGAGCTGTAGAATATGGAATTTAAATAACTTAGCCTTGTGTTGACGCGAGACACAATTGCTCCTGGCAGCACCGATCTATTCCTGAGAGAATGTTGAGCACCAAAGACACTCCACTTGGAGCTTGTTTTCTCTTTGGCAAAACTGGCCTTTGGGCAAGGAACTGCCCATGTATCAACCACTGACAAAATGCACGATGTCCAGACAGGACAAGCAGGAGACAAGGAAAAAGACTGTCAAATCTTGCCAAGACAGGGTAAGACAGTTTTGAAAAATTTCCTGCCTCTGAAAGTAGTCTGCCAGTAACTCTAGGCCTTAGCCAAAGTTGGTTGCTCCAACATTGCAAATGAGACTTTGGGTAATTGCCAGGTAGCCAGTTGTCTCTGTCATTTGTTGTACATTTTGGAAGTTGCTTGATTGCACTTCCTGTTTACCCAAGTAATATTATTTTCCTTCTCAGGTCTTTGATGGAGTTGAGACTAGATAGTTGTAGTTACTTTCCTCTCATGACTTGGCCAAGTTATTTATAATACAAGACTTAAACTCCTTAGGATAGGATAATTATTAAAACATTTATCACATGTTTCTTTCTTGATATTCTTTATGCTGGCTGTAATTCTAATTTTTATACCTGATACTTGTTCTTATTGTATATAACTTCGTATTAGACTTAGAACTTTCTTATTTAAACAAAAGGGGAGGTGTGTAGGAAGTCCTACCACCAGTATTAGACTTAGAACTTTCTTATTTAAACAAAAGGGGAGGTGTGTAGGAAGTCCTACCACCAGTAGCCTTTAAGTTACCTGTTCACGTGGGCATGGCCTCTTATACTATATATGCCGATGTAAAGTGCATAGTTTTGGCCTCCTTCTTGGCTACTGGATTCGGTTGCTATTCCCTGTTTGAGCAGTGGACTGTAATCTGTGAGTCTACCCCTAAATACAACCCTCTATTATACTCAATTCTGAGCTAGCATGGGATTTCTTTTATGCATCCTTCTTCAGGTTATTATGGGTGTTTATGAGCGATGGGACATTATGGAGGATGGCTAGGTCGTTGACGTGTATCCTTGAGTGCAGAGAGGTGAGGTCCCTGCTTCTCTTCTTTACTTTGTGGTTTGTGCAGTAAGCAACTCTACTCTGCCACACTGAGCCACTCCACAACACCCAGGGCAACAAGGACAAGTGATCACCAACCCAAATCTCCAAATCTGTGACCCCAAACAAACCTTATATCTTCATAAATGGTTCACTCTGGGTATTTCATCATCGTGACAGAAAGTTGACCAACTCAGTTTGCTACCCAGGCAGTGCCCTGGATGGTCTTACCTGCTGCTTTGCTTTTTGAGACAGGGTCTCCTGTAGTCTAGAGTGGCCTTGAGCTTGCTATGTAGCGGAGGACTCCTGCTTCCACCTCTCAAATTCCAGGATTGCTGGTATGTGTATCCTTACCCCGCTTCCAGGTGCCTCTTTTACCAATGGGAAGCTCACACGCTCAAATACAGGGGGAACACAATATTCAAAGTATAAATATTGAAGGGAGCAATAGGGATTTTAGTATTCTTAGGACTGTCAGGTGGGATAAAGAACCAACATGATGTAGTCAGAATTTGCTTGAGAGTTTACCAAGTTATAGGCACAGCTTCGTCTTGGCTGCAAGCATCAGGCTGGCTGACTGGCTTGGTTTCACTAGTGTATGGGGAGCTGATGTCAAAGCTCAGAACCCCCAGTGACAATGAACACATGAAGGTCCCTTTACTATTATCCTGACTTGATCCAGAAAGAACACATGCAGTTTCTAAAGTACATGGACTGAATGATGTACCCCCACCCCCCAATCCATACATCAAAGCCCCGGCATTGATTGTTTGGGAACAGAGATTATGAGTAATTAAGGTTGAGCGTGGTCTTCACGCAGCGGAGGGAGCTGGTCCAACAGGATTGATTTCTTTGTAGGAAGAGAAAGCCCATGGAAATCTCCATCTCTGCCTAGGCAGAGGCTATGTGAGGACATGGAGAGGAGGCGTTGTCCCCAAGCTAGGAACGGAGTTCTCACCAGGAACAAAATCAACTGTGCCTTGATCTGAGACTTCCAGTCTCCAGACTTTGGGGACATCAATGTTGTTGTTGACACCGCCCAGTTGGTACTATTTTGTGATGGCAGCCCAAGTCAGCACGGCACACAGCATATAGAATAGCAAACGTCACTACGAAGGTGTTGCTTAGGAGAGAAAACTCGTAGGATAAGCTCCTAAAAGCAATGGGAACTGAAACATTGTGAGGACACAGAGCATGGCAGCTCCAGACTGCTGCCCATGAATCTGATGCCAGGTTTGCTCTGAGGACAAGGAAGCTTACAGTGTCTACTGCCACGGAGGAAGCCAGCTGCTGCTGTCAGTGCTGTGACATGAACCAGCAGGGAGGCCGGGATGGGAGTCAGAGTTTTCTAGGAAATGAAGGCTCAGTTCCCTTATATCAGGCAGCTCCATGAAGATGTTCCCTGTCGTATTTCCATTGCTTGCTTATATGACCACTGTTGGACTATTGTTTTCTATTCTTTGGATATCAAAACTGGGTGGATGGATGAGAGACTGGGGCTTCTGGCTGTCTCCTGCTCTTCTCATAGATACTAGAGGTGATCAACTTGGATTTCTCCAAGAATAGTTCCTAGATGTGATGATAATGACGATGATTAGGAATGGTGGGGATGGACCACAGGGCCTCACACATCTGGACATGTGCTCCACTACTGAGCTATATAACCCAGTGCAGGAGGGAGCTAATATAGATCTCTCAGTCCAGTTCAGATGTGCCCTTGGCAGAGGTTGGCTCTTCTAAAAACCCTTTAGCTGTTGAAATCTGAGGGACCTGGTAGGAAGGCTTGCTCAGCACGGATTGTGTTGAATCTTGGCCTCTACAAAGCAGTTATGACTTAGAGGTACAGGACTCTACATACCTGTCCAGAGAACTGGAGCAGGGAAATCCCAAGGTGAATCTTCAGAAGGGATGGGGAAATCCGATGATGGAAATGCTGGGCTAATCTGAGCATCACAAGTGAGTAAAGAAGGCAGCAGATCAGAACTACAGAGGAGACTTGCCATACTGATACAAGTACAAAGACAGGGAAGCAGGAAGGGAAAAGACATTTCACAGCTAAAGCCAGGACAGGTACGTAGTCGGTTGAAGGCTGGCACTTGGTGACCATGGGGGGCAGAGCCAACGTAGGCTGTATGAACCATCAATTACTACTCAAAGAAACTTCTAGGGGAAGCCAGGTATCATCCAGGATATTGCCTCCATCTCAAAGTATCGAGTCAGATGGTGGCCTTTACAGAGTATGAAACAATAATTTGGCAGGAAACCCTTCATTCGCCTTGACGGTAGCGAGGCCACAGCTGCCCCCTGGTGAGCGAAGCATCCTTTCCACTGAGTTCCTCTCCAAACATGAGGAAGCATAAGAAAAACACAGGAGGAATATTCTAATATTCTACCACAGGCCGACCTGTACCCTGAGGAGAGCAACAGCCTGAGAGATGAACTTTAGAGGGGCTCCGTAGATGACGGCGTAGAGGGGAGGGCGAGGGTTCCGTAGCCCGTAAGAGAAACTATTGAGGAAACTGGCAAAGCCCAAAGAAGTCACCCTGGGAAGACAGGGCAGCCAACAGCAGAGAACCGGATGGTGTATTTTCCAACCAAGATCCCCGGTAGGGAAACCTGATTTTTCTTCAGGCAAGTCCAGATATGTGTGTTATTTAAGAGTTGTTCACAGTTCCTGTCATCTAAGATGCCGGGTCCTTGTGAGCACCCTACCTGCCACATTTGGTTTCGCTGGTACCTTAGTTGGCGTTTCTATTGCTGTAATAAAACACTGTGGCCACAAGCAAAAGGGACGAGAGAGTCATTGTGTGTTACAACTCTCAGGCCATCACTCCACCAGCGGAAGTCAGGGCAGGAACTCAGGGCAGGAACTCAAGGCAGGAACCACAGCGGCTTTCTGGCTTGCTCAAAGGCCATCCTAGTGGGAGCATTTTCTCGGCTGAGACTCCTGATTCTAGAATGACTCTAGCTTGTGTCAAGTTGACATAAAACTAGCCAGCTCAGTTAGTGACTAGAAAGTTTGAATTACGTCATTGGATGCTGTGTTGGCAGTAGCTGCTTTGTAGATGAGAGATATTGCCACGGCATTAGCAGGGGACGACTTTCTGCACAGTTCCCATACTGGCCCGATTGGGGTGAAAGACCTGCAACATGAATATGGAATTTGTTATTTTACTTTTATGTTGTGGATTTATTTATTTGTGTGTGTGAGTGTTTTGCCTGCATGTGTGTATACCAGGTGTGTACCTGCCTGGTGTCCTTGGAGAACAGAAGAGAACACTGGATCCCCTGGAATTTGAATTGTGGATGATTGTGGTTCTGAGCCACCATGCAGTTTCTTGGAACTGAACCTGGGTTTTCTGCAAGAGCAGCAAGTGCTCTTAACTGCTTAGCCACCTCTCAAGCCCCTGGGACATGTTCCTTACATACAAGGCGGCATGTGTCATTGATGAAAATGGCTGGAGGATCTTCAGCCTCCGACACACACTGGGGTGCCGGCAGAGAGGGGCTGGACAAAGAGAGGCTCTCTAGGGGTGGGATGGAGCTGAGGGGTTTCAGTCTCCAAAGGAGGATAAATGCCACGAGGAGAAGAACTGGGGAGACTGAAGTTGGGGGAGCAGTTTCTGAACAAAGAAACCGAAGCAAGTCAGAAAGGGAATGAGTCAGTGTAAAATCCATTAAAAGGAAAAGGCTCATGTTCTTTAATCTTTTCCTTTGAAAATGCAATATTAATAACAGCGCTGTTTACTGACGGAGCCCTGCTTCTGCATATGTGCTCAATCAGAGCTCTGCTAAAGGTCAGGGACCCTCTGCTTCCTGTTAGATTTCCACTCAGAGGCAAATGCAAATAATTCAGGCTCTCCAGGCTCAGGCAGGGCTCCTTCTCCAGCCGCACTGCCTGCTGGGTCTCAGCGCTGATCCAGATCAAGCAGAACCCGTCTGGAGCGGGGTGTTCTTGGAGAGGAAGGGAGCTCCTGATCTTCCTGGGCACCCCACCCCTCCATGTGTGACCCTGTTCTACACGGCATGGTCCCCCGTGTTATAGAATAGGAGAAAGATGGATATGGCTTTGACACTTTTAAAAGGGCTGAATACAAAAATGATAATGTGTCCATAAACAAAGCTACATCAGGATGCAGGCCTGTTGTGGGACAGTGGTCTGTACCCTGTCACTTGCTTGAATGAAATGCTGATTGGCCAGGCAAGAGAATTCTGGGAAGAGGAAAGACTGAGTCTGCAGCAGTAACCCAGATGCAAAGGAAGCAAGATGAGAATGCCTCACTGATAAAGGCACTAAGCCGCATGGCTGATACAGGCAAGAATTATGTAGAAATTAGTTAAGACACCTGAGCTAAGAGCCCAACCAGTTAATAATTAATGTAGACCTCTGTGTGTTTTGTTGGGACTGAAGCGCTGTGGGACTGGGTGGACAGAAACCTCTGCCAACACATCCCCATTGGTTTTCCCTCTTCCTGCCTGTGGCTGCTTCCATAGTTGATACTAAAGCTGGTGGCTGTGGTAGAAACTGTCCCTAGTATACATTTATGCTCTGGCCTGTTAGAGAGGAGGCTTCCTTAAAGCCCTGCTCTGAACTTCCTGTTCCTCAAAGGTGGGATGGTTCTTCACACAGAGAATGTGGAGATCTTCACTGGGGACCAAGCATGACTGAGCCTGACCCCCCCCCCCCCACGCACACACTTAACCATCAGAACGGTCCTGTTAGGGTTTGGGGATGCAGCTCAGTTTGTATAGTGTCCACTTAGCATGCACCAAGCCCTGGGCTTGATCCCAGCTATTAAGAAGTAGGTGCCGTGGTCCATGCCGTGTTTTCAGCAGGAAGACGATGAACTCAGAGCCACATCCCT